AATACGAGCTAGAAGAAAATCATCAATGGTACTTCACCGAATTCATGCTAGCGAATTTCAATTCTGCCACACGCCACCCTTTTAAACAACTTAAATTGTAATATAAGCACTATGCTCTTAGTGTACTACCTTGGTTCATCTGCAGGTTTAAAGGAAATGCTCCGATATCCATCCTAATCAACATCACGGTAATTAACAAGTGTTGTGAGCTAAGTAAGATCCAGATTGATGCCACACAAGCCAACATAAAATAAATGCTTAGATTGAATTAAAAAAAACCAAAAACCACCAACAATTAAAAAGTCTGCTTACCACAGAATTTCTAAGCTTTTCAGGTAAAGGATCTTTTACTTCAGACAGAGGATCTTCGGGGTTTTTGTCTTCAGAATTGGGAAAAAATTTTGATTGCACTAAAGAGCTTAAAGAAAGACAAAAAAGAACCCACTGAAAATCATATATTGTTCTATGAGGTTTTAGAAGAATAACAAAGTCAAAAGTTCTATTATGAGTTGACTACAAGAAAAAAATAACCCTAGCATATTAGTGCTTTCACATAACTATGCAAATTTACAAAGATGAGATCACAACTTCAGAAAGAATTAGTTCTCTGGTTACACACAATGACCTCGATTAAAGATGAGTAGCTAGATGTTGTTCGAACAGCAGTTTCTCCAGTACCAACAGGAGTAACTGAACAAATACTGAATTTTAAGTGGAGTTCTTAGCACTCACAAAATAAAACTTTAGTTCATAAATAACTGAACAGAAATGTAACCTGGTGCAAAGTTCAGAAGTAGTCTACTTCTCAACCCCAATTAGAAAACCAAGAACTCCTTGGTTTAATTCAGACTTTAACAGCAACAACAAAAAAATCTATGCTACCCTGAGTAATTAAAGAATTAGCCATGCAGACCGAACTACTAAATTCTTAGCAGACCTTGATGGTATTAATGCCCAAAAAACTTATACCTGAGCTTTTAGAAGACCATATGCAGCACTACTAGCCGTACTTAGGTGTCTCACAAGCCCTCCGTGGGATTCTTATTACAACACCCTATGTGGTACAGATTATTTGTATTATTTCATTTTATGGACAGAAAGCTCACTACAGAACAAGCCCTAGATCTTCAAATGCAATTACATATTGCAATGCTTAACTATGCCACATCTGGCTAAATAGGTGAACCTGTAGGTCCAATATAAGCATCCAGGCTATAGTACTTGGAAAGAATGAAAGAACAGGTATCTAGGGAGAAGGGTCTCATACCAACTGAATAAAGTCACCTGAACTAAGTGTAACAGGACAAGGTTTAGTTGTCAACCCAAAGATTACAATTTTCCTCTGTGTGCACACTCACGAATCATTAATCTCCCTGTTAACAAAAGAGGCCCCTCACTATCTACTCCAGACTACTGCTTATCAAATTCATCCAGCATTATGGCTAAATTTAAATCCAAGTTCAAGCTCTGCCTAACCCAGGTATGTGACTGAGACTCTATTGGCTACTCTGTGGGAGGTGTTTCTCCTCCTGGAACTATTTTTTTTTTTACAAACATAATTATTAACAGAGTCGGAAATACTCTCATCATCAGATCAATACTCCAACTCAGAATAGCAACATGAATACACGTTTCCCCATGCTAGAAGAGAATGCTCATCACCAAAACAAGTCCTTACTGTTTTGCATCTGAGATGAAATTATTTGAAGTGTTTTGAGCATACATTCAAGACAAGAACATAATAATGAATTAAATGAAATAGTTCAAAAACTCCACATGTAAGCTTCAGCTTAAACTAGTGCTTTGAGAACCTCTTTAAATACAGAATGGGTACAGGTTGTTGTGCACCACAAACGTACCAGCAGAATGATGGCATCTGACTATCATTTTGGAGAACATCAGCAGGCAGATAAATTAGATTTTGACATGTAAGTGATTTTCCAGAAGCCACAAAGAAAGGTTGTCATTAAAGGAGGAATCAAGTGCAAAATTTCAGAATTTTTAACTACTGAACCAATATCATACTGTGCAGTGGGTTAATGCACGGACTCCGTAGATGTGATACCAGAGACGTTTATTACAATTTACAAGCAGCTTTTATAGATCATTTTTCCAGCCACGATGTGTCCACACGCCCTTTGCTTAGTTATCATTGGTTACAACCAGTAGTGCACGCGCTTGTTTTAGCTTTGCTATCAGCTATGCCTAAAAAAGCATCATTTTCTAACTGCTAAGCTGAATGCCAGCCGCTCACACTCCCTTTTCCTTTTTATCAGCATTCTTTCTCTTTATCAGTGTTTCCCAACTTCGTCAAGAACACAGGCTTAAATCATCAAGGTCAAACCCCAACTATAACTGTGTGTATGATTCCACAATACTGTTTTTGATAATGCTGGTGACTACCAGTTCAAACAATACTAATATCTAATGTTATTTATAACGTTCCCTTGCAATTGCTTCTTCCTTGAGGAAGGAACACAAACTGAGTTACTTACAAAAGTACAGAAGGGTCACTACTTTGTCTGCTGAGATGATACGATATTGCCACTAACAAACCACAAAATATGGAAAAGAGAACTGGAATATGCTGCCCATCCCAAGAATCCTGGAGACAGAAATTAGATGTTAATAAAAAGGAGGCAAAGTATATAACACTTATCTGACATATAAGAATCACGTATATTAATAGTAAGAGAATGGAAAAATTAACTACAATTCCACAAAAATGAAACAGGACTTTTAGTACAAAAATATTCTCTATATTTATCTATGTCTAACATAGCATACAACCCTTAACATCTTAATTCATTAAAGAGTCATCAGTTTTCATAACTCATGAAGAATTTCTTGCATTCCTTGAGACCACAGGTTCTTAGAGTTGCATTTAGTCACTTCTTAATTTTGGAAGTTACATATGTTTTTACTTAGGTTTATTTTTTTCTAGTGTGCTGAATTCAGATTAAACCAGTGATTTGATTTTGTTTTCATGATCTGTACTGGATCTGAAAAGACAGTGATTCTTTGCTAAAGCTTGTTTATCTTGAACAGACGTGTTTACAAAAGGCTAATGAGACAAATGTACAAATTCAGAGAAAGCTAATTATGTTCTGCAGATGATAGCATCATGGGAGTATTTCCTCCAGCAACTTTTTACTCTCTGTGACAGAGTGGAAAAAAGCAAGCCAAGTCTGTGTTGGAAGGCACACATGCTACAATTAATTGTGAACTGAGAGCATTTGATCAGTGACACACACCTGAAACCAACAAACAGAATCAACATCATTGTTTTCAAACAGGGCATTTCAAGCAAGGAAAGAGCTGTCCGTTTCGGGGATTATTTCCCCCCGCCCATCCTTTGACAGCTAACTCTAACTTTTAGATAGGCACACATCTTCACTTTGAAGATTTTCTATAACCTTATTGACTACAAACTATTTCCTGGTTTCTTTTCAAATAAAGATTAATTTGAAAAGACTATTTCTGGTTTGCAGCACTAGAAAAAATACTCGCAAGAGCCATTTGGAGAGGTTAACAACCCAACACATGAAGACTGGGCTAGAAAAAGCCACTTAGGTGATGTTTTTCAAGAAACAATGTAGAATAGAACTGAAGCTAAATGTCACGTTTTTGGCAAAAAAAATAGCCTGTTAGTGCAGGCACAAATCATATACCTTTTAAAAGCAAAATATCTGCTTTGTTCCTGCATTGCATCTCCTCTATTGACATCACAGCTGAGCCAGTATAAAACTCTACCAAATCAGACTATTATTATTAATTCTCTTTCTGCATATTTAAGCATCTAAGATACAAGGAAGCAGAGAACAAAACCCAAAACATTAACATATGCTCTGTCTAAAACTTTGCTCACCTTCAGGGCACCATAGCACAGTCCATACAATAATGCTACAGCCACAATACTACAGATAAAACTGTAAAGTGCTGCAAGCAGGCTTGTGGTAGCTGCATATCATAGAAAAGAAAGAAAAGTTAAATAGCATTATGTAATTAGGTTAAAATACAAAATACTTCCAGCTGTTCAATAAAGATATCAGCCCTCTAGTTGCAACACCCCTCTGATACGAAAATAAAAAATCCAACCCATAGCAACTACTGTATCCACTACAAATAATTTTTTTTTAAAGAGCAATTTACATAGCTTTATTTACCTTCTAATTTCTTCAACAGCATTAGCATAGGAATACTTAACAACCACAACAGAAACCAGCCAAGGAAGCAAGTACACGTTTTGACAAACTTACTAGGACAGTAATTCTACTTCTCAGTAATCAATCAGAAGACCTTTAGCCTTTTTAAAAATGCAATTAGCATTCCATGTTTAGAGGACGGGCATACAAACAGTGTAATCACTAAATTTTTTAACTGACTTACTAATCTGATGGATGCTCCTAATCTGATGCTTTTGCCACTGACATAAAAAACAACACTCACCATTGCCACCGAAGACATGAATATCCAGCTGTTCACAGAGATACATCATAAATGTATTCACCTGAGGCAGGAGACCAATGAAGAATACTATAGGGAAACATAGTGTAAACACTAGGGAGGAAAAAAAAAAATAGTTGAATAAGTTATGAACATGAAAAATATAGCATGGTAATGTACTCTTCAGTTTAAATTTAGGGCATCAAATACACCACATATCACCACTGAAGTATTTCTGCTACTATTTCTAAGGAAAGCATCCATGACATCAATCTCTACTTCAGTGACAGATTTCTTGTACTTCCGTTTTAATTCCTGTAGAAAAGGACACGGGCCAATTCAGGCTTTCCATTTTTATTTAGCAAAGATCATCCACAAGCGTTTATAGATTAGAAGATTTGTAAGTTTTTACTCACTGTAAGTGAGGCTTATCCCAGCCTAACTGCCTGCCGAGTTACGGGAGCACGCTAACACCAGCCACACTGACGTAAGAGAGGCCAAGCGTTTCACCTCTGGGTTTTCTGTCACTAATAGCATCTGACAACTTTACTCATTTTCCCACACAACTTCTGAAAAGTTCTCATTCTAAATGACTTTTTCTTGTAAATGAAAATGGGTAACTGTATGAACCATTAAACCTCTGTAAATTACCGGACTTCAGAACCCAAAGATAAATGAATGCCACTTAATTTTAATACAGAGAATAGTATGTCCCAACCTGTATATATCATTTACTTTCCATATCAAGGCAAAAAAGATACAAAAATAACAATCTTTTACACAGCTGTTAAGTAGTTCAGATACAATTCACAAGCACAGAAGGATCAAACCATGAAAATAACCTTAGCAGACAAAATCTGACAGTTTAGGCCAGATTTTCTACAACCTTATTGACTTGTAGCTTCAGCAACCAAAAGAAGAAATGAATTTTCAAGTATCCTGTAAATCAATCACAAGTCTCAATTTTAAGTTTCTAACTTTACATCCACAGAATGGTTGGATATTGAAGGATATCACACGAGAAATATCTACAGTGAGATAGGTACTGAGAATCTGATTTTTTTTTTTTCCTTGCTCCTCGGTAAAGTTAAATAACTAAATGTTGTTTAAAAACATGCAGGTTCAGAGCCTGGGAAAAACATTGAGTTCTGCATCTTTTTACTGATACAAATTAGGAAATACAAGACTAAGCACCAGCTATTCAGGACCTGAAGAAAATATCTGTCAGAATTCTCAGTTCAAACTTTATCTCAAATCATTACTGAAGGAAGCCTACACAGGAGACAAACAATAGTGTTCTCTGACTGACAGGTTAAAAAGTTGTTTCATGAAGGCCTGTAAGTTAAACTATCTCGGGTCCACTGAAAATTAAATTACAAAATAGATCTAGGAATACATAATTCATAAAGAGTAGTTCAGCAAAAAGCCAACATTACTTATGTTTTTTAAAGTCTATAACAGAACAGCTCTCTAATGAGGACCACCTAAGTGAAAATAGAAAATAATTGTTATAGATGTGGAGCAGATTTAGACAAATTGATCAAGCCCAATATGTGGGACACTAAATAAATAAAATTATACCAGACCTCACTTGTCTGTTGGTAAGGACACAGCAATTATGTTATCTAAACAAGGTTTGCCTTGCCCTGCACCTGTGTTATTCTACTAGCTATGCCTGGAAATGGGAAAAAAGGCAGCTGAGATTTTTACTTTGTGCTAACAAAGTATGTTTGCTAGCAGCCAGCTTGCTTTGCAATACACACAAAGCTTTTTGAAATGGTGCTTCAGCAACATTAAGAGTTGCTCCAAAGGCAAGGGTGTGCTAGTTGGGGGGCCGGGGTGGGAAAGGCACTCTGCACTGTTGGGCAGGGGTTAGGTTTTTATTTTGGTTTGGTGTGGTTTTTTTCCCCCCCAAGAAAAAAGAGCTGTTCTGGCAATTGGTTTTTTATTGGTAGAACTGCTAAGAAATATAGACCACATAAGCTGGTGCAAGATACCTGAGGTAAAACATAAGGATCAAAAAAAGCACTCAGAACTCTTAAACTAGTAAGTTTTAAAAGATAATCCCAAAATGGACATAGCCTGGTGAAGATGTCAGCACATCATTTTAAAACTGGCAAAGACTCTTAAGTACTTTTTCAAAGTAGGTCACTTTCACAACACACCACCTAGATATACATTTACATATTAACTTATGGGGACATGGGTATACGTTATGGCAATGACTCAAGGTGATAGGAAAAGGAAGAAGAGACTTCTGAAACTGACAGAGCATGAACAAGATGAAATGAAGCTAGTTTTATATCTCGAATGAATCAAAATTATCTGTTGTCTTAACTTCTTCCATCACAGATACAGCATGAAGTATGCCAGTGCATGAATAGATCCATAAAATCTGTAGAAAAGCACCTTTGGAAATGCCTGGACAATATTCTGTTCATAAATAAGAGGCTTAGACCTTTTCCCTCTGGACATTTAAATTTAAATACAGATTTACTAGCAAGAAGTCAAAGGGGTAAAACAGTATGAGGCATGAAATTTACAATGTTCCTAAAATCAGGTAATAAAAACTAATTCAAAAAATGCTTGAGTCTGTAATTCTTACTAAAAGTTGGAGGGGGGGAAAGGGAAAAAAATGGGGGGGGAAAAGGGAAAAAAAACTCCATAAACTCCACCATATTTAAAACTATTCTTTCCAAAGGAAATGAAATGAACTGCATTTAGAAGGTGACTATGAAAGTGTCATAACAAGATGCAGAGTAGGGGGCAAAAAAAAAAAAAATCTACTGTGATGAAGCAAACAATTCAAATCCACAAAAAAAGCCACTCACCTATAACTAAGTCCCTGGCTGACAGCAGCAGCAATGGGTTGGTGAAAGCCATTCCATACAACCTGAATCTTGTTGTAGATATGTTTCTGCTGCCATAATCCAACAGCCAAATAAGACCACAACATAAACAGAAATATACAGGCCTACTATAGGCTATGATACGATTATGACCCTGTTTAAAAAAAAAAGAAAAAAAATGATAGTATTTGCTTCATTATTAGCAGAAAAAGTAATTGTTACTCTTCTGTTACAGATAATTTCAGAAGCAAAATCAACGTTCTCAATGTGCTGTCACCTCAACACATCCTTAAGCTTTGTTCATAAAATCCTTAATGGGTTGCCTTGCAGTGATATAAGTCATTTTTTTTATGGCTTTGATATAATGAGCACAAAACAGATTAAGCCAGACTAAGCGATGTTTACCCTTATTCTCCACTAAGTGTTAAAGTATGTCTCTTGCAATACTAAATGTCAGAGAAGCTCTGACTAGGCTTCATAAAAAAGAGAGAATATATTAATTTTGATGAAAAAGCAATTCAAATTTATTACTTGGATACTGTTCCTGCTGGAAAAAAAAAAAGTATTTATTGTATTTGTGTGTTAATTAATACATATAACTTATGATCTAAAATAATATGAGTAACTTGCTGCAGAGCAATAATGCTTTTTCATATCTTAGGATGTAACAAAAATATTTTGTCTTGGCTATCTAGCAGATGCACAATAGAATATAAACATACTGTGCAACACTGGAACACTAACATTTCCATGCTCAAATGTTAATGCTCACTACAGCATTGCATACTCAGCTTAACAGAGTGAAAAAATAAGGCTGTGTGCACAACTGAATGATCCACAAGACCGAACAGAATATCAAAGCTATGTCAGTTCATAATGTCGTAATTTGCTATGCTGTTAAGAATACTTCTCAGTATAATTTCTTGAATACTAAAGATTCATCAAAAAACCTACCATGATATGGCTCTACAGCAAATGCTAGGCTTAAAACAGGGAGGACATGATTTGCTAAATACAAAGCGTATGCAGGGAAAAAATAGTATCAGTTTCCTTCTCACACAGCAAGACAACACAAGTCTCTTGTGCCTTATGAGAAGGCACATTAAATAAATGCTGAAAAAGATCAAACCAAAAAGATCAATTCTCTGTCGAGGTTCTACATCTGCAGGGTTAGTACAGTGGCACATGCCCATGACTTACATGTCGAGGGGAAGAAGAATCTGGCTGAACACTCTGAAATCAAAATGGAAAGAGCAAAGTTACCCAATCTACAGATAAGTGTGTTTACCTCCCCACATACACACTTTCTTGACTGAAGTTCTTTTAATAATATTTACAATTGATTTTACAATTTTGAAGCCACTCTACAGCCTTTAAATAGCACAATGTAGTAAACCATAAAATCTGTTCAAAGAGTGTATGTCTACAATCGCATTTTTTTAAAAAAACACTCATTTTTAGGACTTTTCCCTTTTTTTAAACACAAAATATGTTATGCAATTAAATTTTAACTAATAGTCTAATGATAAGGAAACAAACAATCATTCTTAAATTACAAAAATATCATTAACAATTGACTAATAAAAACTAAGATTCTGATTAAAAATATGCTTAGATAGAATGCCTAATATGAATGCTCCGAGGTGTATCCACTAAAAAAAAAAAACACACAAAGAATACAAAACAAAACAATAAAACTTTAATTGTAGTTTGTAGGCTGTTTTCAACCAGTAAAAATGTGCTCCTCTTTGGGAAGACAAAAAGTCCATGAGAACAACAAATAAAGGGTTGTTTAACAAACATACACAAAACCATTCTAGTATGACCATCTATCAAACTCTCCATGAAGTTGAAATTTGCTCATTTCTTTATAATTTAAAAATAAGCAATTTTTTCCTTAAAGCTCTAACCTGCAGCACCCAAAGTTATTTTTATTGTTTATAGAAAGCAAAGATAGAAATTAAAATACCTTCAACAGCGAGTACTGACAACTGGCTATTACCAGGCAGAACTGGAAGACCCAAAAATCCTTGAAAAAGCCCTCTATAAGAAGTACAGAGCCCAGAAATGCCACTAGAATAGCTAGGATGACAGCTAACACATTTTCAAGGATCTCACGATTCCTGCATTAGAGGGAGAGAAAAAAAAAAAGAGAATTAAAAAGCTGACTATGTCTAGAAAAAGCTGCAACGGAACAGTTAGGGTCAGAAGTTAACAAGAGTTATGCTGCTGGTAGTAAAGTGGTTAAGAATAGATTTGAACTTGCATAGACTATACTGCACACTGTCTTTTAGCAAAGCTAGGAGCTACCAGGATTCCAATGAGAGCTGAAAGCAATTGGTATCTTATGGAATTGACCTTTAAACAGGAGAAGATAACTTCAGCAGATAACTTCAGAAGTAATTCAAATGCTCAAGAAGATGATCTGTAACACAAATCTATATTCAAGGCCCACAAGAGATGATTACAATCCTGTGAAAAATATCTGCATGACAGCTATAGTATATAATCTGTCACTCATGATTTTGTAATGAAGAAACTAAAAATACTCTCACTTGACTAAGATACGCCAAGTGGAATAAAGAAAATTCTATATGATATTGGTAGGGCTTAGGAACAGAATTAATAGTTTTTCTGCCTGGACAGAATCACTACTATACTGTTCATCTCAAGAAAGTTCATTAACAAAATTTAAATTCTCTATATATTCCAAAAGCCAGTAACTGGTGGGTCATCTTCATTTTATTCCACTAGGAAAATGCAGCAGGGAAAAGTTACAGTATTAGATATCCATTTGGAAAAACGCTTTGAAACAGCAGGTAGATTCTCTCTACTTGCTGAAATAACGTTAAGTGTATGTCAAGTTCTAGACTCTTTCCATTAGTTTTTTAGAGAAAGTTATTTTCTAGATTTAAAGATTAGCAACAAATCTCTTTTTGACCATTCAAATATGTTATTGCCCCACTCACACAAAGCAAGCCATTTGGTGAGTTTTTTTACCTTTTCAGCCTTGCTGAAGAAAAAAGGGAGAGTAACCTTCACTATTTTAGAAAAAAACTACATTTTGTGTTATTCTTTAGTCTTTCAGAGTACAGTAAATACATGCAATTCTCTAAGCATAGCTTTATCTGTATTACTCCCAGTTTTGTTACCACTTTTTAATCTTTACTTTCTGAGGTCTAGTAACATACGAGGATCTCACCTATCAAATAAAGCCAGAAGAGTTAATCTATCAAAACTGATGCTAATCCAAAGCTTAGGCAGGATCCAAAAGCGATAGTACTGCTTGACTTTTTGAGCTGCTTCCTCTTGAGGTTGCATGTGGTCCTGAAGGTCAGGGCTCAGGTCAATATCTTGCTGCTCCAGGAGATCTGTATCCATGGTTAGCAGTCTGTTCAACCTGATCTGAGGAAGAGAAAGCTAAAAGAAAGTCAGTATTAACAAAAGCTCATTTTTATTTTGTCTCTGTATTCTACCAATAACTACTTTGGAAAAAATTGCTAGAATTACTTAGTTTCACTTTTAAGAAGTTATATGTTAAACACTGCCAATTCTGAGGCTTCTACTTACTTTTCTGGTCCTTATCATGGCAAATGAATAGCATTAGCAGCAATAATAGTTTGCATACAACACAACTGTTTGGCATTTTAGCATATGCCCTCTTTCAATTAAGTGTGAATGTATCTTCCAAGCACACTATCCCATTTACTCTGAAAACTTCAAATTTGAAGACAAGTAAACTGATATGTGAATAGAAATAACATATATTACAAGAATAATCCAGTTCTGAATTTAAATAAAGTACAAGACATTTCTTATAGTCACCTAATTTGCATGCACACCCACGCCAAATGGTTGGTTTTACATGACAAAGCAACATATGCATGCATCAGTGGTCAAATTCACTACACTCAGAATATAATCAGAGACAAAAAAAAAGCTCTGCCCTAACTAGTCAAGTACTATTTATGACTGACTATATTTCTCATTTATTTTGTAGTTTGTCACCCTAGAATTCTCTTGAAATCAGTCATACTAACAATCATAAAGGACATTTAAAGAGAGTTCTCAAAGTTAAAAAGTAGAATTACTGTTGTATTTGTGTTATCTAACCCACTGTATACATTTCATAAACAGGCCAAGAAACGTCTTAATGAACTGCCCTTTATTCTTAACACTATCATCATTAAAATGTCATTTAATGAAAAATCTTCATAAGCTTTTAAAGTAAAAAGTAAAATTTAAATACTTATGTCAATCTTTAAGCATAAAAAACATAGTTTTGTTGGTGTTTGTTTGCGGTTAGCTTTTTTCGTTTTGGTTATGTTTTTCTTCACAATTATCTTAAAATTTAACATTTGATTTCCCATTTTTGAAATTTTTTTCCATGACCCCTTAAAGCATCAGTATACTGTAAGTACGCTCAGCCATCTTTTTCCTCCTAGAAAAATACTAATAAAAACAACATGCGGAAACACTCCCTTTCTAAAGGCATTTCAAAAGTACAAAACATACTATCTAAGATAAGCTGTGTCAGAAAACAGGTGATTTTTTTCGACCACGTGTTAAAAACTTGGTTTCTTAAAAGGTAAAATCATCAAAACATAACATTCATTGCCCTAATAATAAATTTCATCAGAAACTTCCATTTAGGCACATGGGGTAAGCTTTTATAAATACAAGTTTGCCTTAAACAGAATCATTCCCTCCAATGGGACCAAACTGGCAAACCAACAGGACATAACAGGTAACGCAGCCTCTATTTTGAGGGCTACATTTTTGAGGGGGATGGAGAAAGCAAAGGAAGTTCCTCTAGCACACACTCGGGTTGAAGACCACGTTCTTGATCAAAGGCATGGGCAGGCAAATGGAAGTCTCCTGCTCCCTCTGCAAAGTGCTGAATCTGTATTTCATTTTCCCTCTTGATTAGGTCATTAGGTATTTCAATATAATTTACTTTGGTTTCCTAGATTAAGAATTATGACCTTAAGAAACATGACCATCTGCACTGTTCTCATGACACAGCAATATCAGACTTGCGAATTAAGAGTACAGGTATGTCTGGACTGACAACATGAGAGGTTTGAGATCACAAAACTAAGGAATACTAAAGCTATTTGTACTACTAAACAGTGTAAGCCTCTGCCTTTCCCCTCCCCCAACCTCAGTCACTCCTTGCAATATGAATTAAGACTTTGTACAGCAGATTCCAATGATAGATTTTTAAATTCCTTTCAGGGAAATTACTGAAGTTCCTCTTGGTGAGAATACAAAATTTATTCTTTCTGCTGCCTGCTAATCTTAGTAATGCACAGAAGAAAAAGTCTGTCCAAGTTGTCCAGTCATCTCTGGAAACATTTACAAGGTATTTCAGAACATCCAATTTCCATGTGATTTAGAAAATCACTTTGCTTTAGATCACAGGAAACCATTTATATTTAAATTTTCAAGTGCTATGCAGAAAGATGAATTTGTATGTATACAGGAAGACACTGCAACAATAAATAAATATCTTCACTTAAACCCAGGTAAAAATCCTTCTTAAGAACTACTGTATAGGATGATTAATCAGTGCTATAAAATTGGCAAGTCTTCTGATGTTTTGCATGCTTTAAAAATAAATAAGAAAAACTTACTAGATCATGTGGATAAAAGCGAACTGAGGTAGAACTCGATACGTGAGAGTCCGTGTCACTATAAGAACAGGGGAAAGACTTCAGATTATAAAACTACATTTTATTTCAACAGGTCATTCTAATTTTCTAGTGTCTTACGTTAATTTTGACTCCTTGCAAATTTTAGCTAAAAAAAAAAAATAAATCCTTTCTTTAAGCTTTTCCTTCAATCAGATATTTTAAATACAAGTATCTACTTAGTCATGTGTACTGTCGTAAATTCCGTAGCTGTAGTATCAGAAGACTCTTCACCCTTACCCTTGGTATAATTTTCTCAACATGTATTTCCTAACAGGAATCTAACAAGGATTATCAAGATAACAATTATTCCACTTGAAAAAACAAAGATCTTTTATAATCTGTTAGCTACTGATTCATGAACATACATCACATCCCTAAAGGAGTGCAGAGTACACCATGTGTCGAGATACAGACTTTCTGTTAATTCTATACTGTTTTCATCAAGATCCCAAAACTGCCAAAAATAGTACATACTTAACACAAGCATACTGAGTTAATCTTAAATTGCTTTTGAAAAACTTAACTTTAAATAAATCTCTGTTAAGAGGAGCAAAATTACTTTTCAATTTCCATTCATTAGAGATGAGGAGAAATTTCTCTTACTGTATGAGAGTCCATATCCAACCATTGCTTTTTTCCCCAATTTTGGATAGATTTGGATGTTTGTTTTCCATGTAAATCACATGGCTGTAAGACTTGTATCAAATTTATGCAACTTCCCTTCAGTTCCTTGCCTTGAGATAAAAACATTCTTTGTTATCAATTTTACTTCACTAAAATTCAAGCATTCTCTAAAGCCGAGATGTGATTCTTTGGATGTGGTCAGTTTGTTCTTTCCATTAGCATATATAACTTTGTAACAGCAGCCATCAGCAAAGCCATTGCATCTGGAACATGCAAGCAGTAGAGGCAGGCACTGGCAGCTTTGTGCAAGGAATACAGAACTTTTTGTCAAAGTTCAACTCTACAAAAAGGCACTTGCACGCTTTCACAAGAAAGATTTGAAGATGGGAGTTTTATATTCATTAAACCATAATTCCAATAGCTATTCCATCTACGTGGGGGGAATTTGTAGCATTCAGCATAACACAACAGCTTCCCAGCAGTTCTGTGTAGTGAAGTGGATCGGGGGCAGTGGGGTGCAGGAGGTTTTGGTTGTTTTCCTTTCTTCTGCCTCCTGTCCCTTCAGAGAAAGAAAGGGCATATTTCCAACAGCAGATGAACTTTCCAGCACGTAGCTGGCTATTTCAACTGCAAGTCAAATTTTCACCTCAGGCATGTTAACACTTTGATGTATTGTTTCATGCCATTTATAAACTCAAGAACAAATTTATCAGTTTACATTTGCTTCACAATTCGAAGTTCATTTGTAAATAAGTTAATAGCCATTATGATCAACAGCCACCTACTTTCCCAAATCCCAGGTTAAATCCTTTAAGAAAGGTACTCTATTAGCCAATCAAAAATGCATTTGTCAAGTTCTCAGTTTGGACATTTATTGCTTAAGCTAATAGTAGTCTTCATTTTCTGAGATTTATTTAAGTGGAGAAGATTATTTATGCAGTTAGTGTCATTTTCTAGTAAAAATCACTTAGGTTTCAAAAGTAAAAGCATATAGATAATATTTTTATTGATTTTTTTTTGTAGTCCATACTAAATCTTTTAAAATTAAAATCAAAGATTTTGTTGCAGTAAGACAAGAATCATCACTCTTGACTGGCCTTCACACACACCAGATGTTGGATGCTCTTCTTGCAGCTGGCTCAAAGTTCACAAGTGACATGTCGCAGCCCCCTGTCTCGTAGAGCGTAGAACTGAACTTACCTATTAACAAAAAGGTCAAAAGCAGGTCAAAATTTCATAATTTTTCATCCCACTAGCACTATTTCTACTTATTAACTTACTACTGAGATCAATTTAGGCATCTAAATTTACATCAGTGTCAGAACATAAAATGTGATTACACATTACTGCCACCAATGCAGACAAAATATTAGCTGCTCAGTTCTCTTTCATACCACTTTACATGACATACATAGAGTAAATCACAAAATTTTTAAGAGTTTGGATTTATAAAGTGTCACCATTAACACAACAGAAGCACAATGCAAGCCTATC